AAACCTAATGGGTTTTGATAAATTTACTCTGCACTACGGAATTTCCAATAAAAAAAAGAAAATTAATTAAAAAGACCATAGATTAAAAATAAGTAAGGCATAACATATTTTTAATTTATGTTAAAGCAAAACAACAGACTATTAATAGATAAACAAAAACATAAAACTATCAAAAAATTATTTATAAATTGGTTATTCATAGTTACAAGAAATGCAGGAAGTTTTGAAAACAAAATCAAGGCAAGTGAAGAAAGAGGAATTAATGTACAAGGTGAGGGATTCACTTATTCATGACTGAGTTCAATGTTCTCTACACAGCCTAAGTGTGACCCAAACCCAAATGACTTTATGCAACATCATCATATCCTAGATCTCTCTATTGTCACACAATCAAAAATAACATTGTCATCACCACAACCATTACGATTACTGTACCATCTCAGCTAATGCCAGCTCTCCATCTCCTCGAGTGCCATCGCCATCTATCTGTATGAATTTATCGTAATATAATTTATAAAAATAATGATAATTTAATATGACTGCATTTTTTGTTTTTTTTTTAGATAAAAAAGTACTTTTACGATGAACTTAAACAGGAATTGTCACAAGACCAATCCAGCTTTCATACATTTGATCCCACTCATCGTAAGTCAAGTGTTAGTCTGTTAATTATCACTAGATCGACACCAATTTCTGACTTTATCGATAAACAGTTTTTAAAATGCACTGCACATGTGACAAGAATGGCAAGTGGCAGAAACAAATGTTATTTATGGAATCAGAAGTACCATATTTACGTGATATTTGGCTAAAAATCGGAAAAATGATTGGAGACATGGAAAAAGCACAAGTTCTAGCAGTAATGCAGGATCGACAGTTGTTAGAAAAGGTTCTCGACGAACGGTTTGATCACCGCAGGCGAAACTGCCCAAAGAAGCATACTTCTGGGGTATGAAATGATGATGATGATGATGTATAGCGCAATAATAAATTAATTCTTGTTTATAATGTTGTGCACTATCTCCATATTAGTATTTGATTGATGGTTGTTTTGTTGTTTGCTAATATGTATTTATTTGCTTAGAGCTTTATTCATATAAAAACATATTACTTGTATTCATTATCATGGGAACATTTTCTTCCTTTTCTAACCTAAACTCACTCTATCAAAAACAATTAGGATATTAACTACACTACTATGTTTGTTAACAGCTATAGCAGAGCCATTCCACTCGCTAAATTCTGAAACCCTAGCCCCAGTTGTAAATGCGCAAGATAGACGTCTAGCAAGACTCCAACGTGAACAAGAAAGGCAGAGGTTTGTGTCACTACTTCTTTTGTCATCGATCAGTCTATCCTTTCCTAACCAAGTTTGGAGCTCTACTACTAGTATGCCTGATTATTATTATCATTTTTGTTTATGTTGATATTGTTGCTGCTGTTGAAAAGTGTCGTCTACTGTATGTCTCTGTCTATCCATCTATATATCCTTTCCTGCATTATAAGATTAGTGCTGTACTGTTGTTATACATTATTTATTTGTATTGCCCTGCTTTGAAAAAGCTTCCCCAAAATAATAGAATAAGTGCCCAAGTAATGAACACCACTCCTCTCAATACTGTTTCTCAATCTATTATAAGCTGACATTTCATATTGAAAAATTGATTATAAAATAATTGTTATAGCAATCAAACAAAGGAACAGATTTTGACTGTTTTTTTTTTGTTTTTTTTTTAGCTGATTGAACTATAAAACAAGATTTATAGGTATTCAAATAGTTTCATCTGGTTTAATTAATATTAATGTTTCATATTGAAAATTGAATAGGTTTATAGCATGGATTGCACAATTAACAATACAAGGGTTATAAAATAATTGTTATAGCATTCAAACAATGGAACAGATTTTGGCAGTGAGACGAAAGCTCACAGTAATTTAATATCTACTGTGTTTGGTTTATTAACGATAAAAACACTGTTCTACAATAACATTTATAGGTTATTTAAAGGTTGTATTGTTCAAATTTACACTTTGTGACGGAGTCAACTAATAATGCAGTGTGAGAGAGCTATAAATCCTTAGTTTGATAATTATATATTATTAATTATTTATCATTTAACAGAGAAATTGAAAAAAGAAACGATATGGAGAAAGAGGAAATTAAGCAGACAGCTAATCGAATACTGGTAGAGAAACTGGAGGAAGATAAAAAAGAGAAAAAACTGGAGTTGGAAAACCGCCATTTACAACAACAGCTGGAACAGGTTAATTATTAATTCATAATTTAACAATGTCAATGTTGAGTACAAAAATCTATTAAAAAGAATGTTCAGTAAGTTACAGTAGAGAAGTGAAACAGAGAGAGACTGTTTTGGAAGGCAAACCAGCAACTTTCATAATGGCACCAAACAAGGATTTTGAAATGAGGAGGCACAGAAGGTTGGATTGGAGATAAAAAAAAAAATTAAAAATTATTTCTATTGCACTTCTAGATGGCAGAACATTGCTCACTCAGACTTGAATTTGAATGTAGTTTTCTTTGTTCACCCTTAAAGAAAATTTTCCAATAATTTAGGTAGTTGGGGGAGGGGGTGGTGTGAGAAGAGGGTCTGGGCTGGCAGCAATCAGCCTATGCTTTATGCTTTGTCAATCATGTTTGATTACTTAAATCAAAAATGTATTAAACATTACTTAAAGCAAAAATGTATTAAACATGACAGATATTGTTGAGATCTTGCATGGTCGATCTTTCACCTCAGAGTAAACATCTTTAAAAATTGAGGTTGTTTGCAGAACTGTTTACTAAGACTATAACAATGCCGACAATATTAACAATTATAAAATTTATTTTACAATAATACCTTGTTAAAAATTTCTTTGCAGGAAAGGGAGCTGAGAATTAAGTACGAGAGAAGAGCACGCAGAGAAATTGACCGCCTTATAGAAGAGTTAAGATCTTCTAGGCATTTAGACTCACCCCCTCTTATACCAGAATCTAAAGTTCAAACACCTCCTCTACCAAGAATATCTCAGCTTAGGTATACATTACTATAATTCTTGTATGATTTTTATTGCAATTATAGATGGAATCCTCTGTCCCCAGTTTTTTCATACATAGTACAGGGGAGATAAATATTTACTATACTAACATCTTTAATTTCCTTTCGCTGCTGTACCTGGAAAAAGTGGATCATTCCATAATTTATGAGGTATAATCAATCAAAGGAAACTTAACACTACTTTGTTCATCCATCCAAGTACATATAGACAACTGAAATCAACTTTTTTTTGTATTTCAGTCATAACTCAATTAATCCACCTGTGTCACCACTCAGCAGAGGATCTACAGCAAAGCCAAAAAAAGATCTGCAGGAAAGATCAGATGAGCAGGCAGCAAAGAAAACGACTCTAGATGTAATTCAAAAGGTGATGCAGAGTTTTAACCACGGTATGAAAGACACAAGTTTCTTTGCTTTGTGCAGGGCCGCCAGAACCGTGCCAGCAGCACCGACTTAGGCCTGATCACTTTTCTCAATTCTATTGTTTTTTTTCAAATAAATATACACTGATACCTATATGAAGCTAGAATTAAAGAATTTAAAAATAATTTAAACAAAAATTCACCATGCGCTTGTTTTTGTATTGCCTATGTACATTCAACTTTTTGACAATCATTAGTTTTAGAAATTAAGATTGATTTTGAAAATCCTTATAGGTATAAATATAAAATAGCAATCAACTATTTATAACATTTCGGGGGTTGGATTATCACCACACTAAGGTGTACGGGTCAAGCTGGCACTGATTACTTGCAATCAAAATTAAAATCCCTAAAGTGAAGGACATTTATTTTTTAGGTATGCATGTGCTATTTCCCAGCAGAGGAGCCAATTTTTTTCACTATGGTTGAAGTGGGTATGGTATCTAGTCAGCTTCACTAGCTTTAAATCCTGGATCTGCCCCTGCATGAGGTTGAATATGGGTAGCTGCTTTTCAGGTTGCCAGCTGCCATTTCTGGGCATCTAGAGATGCCATATTTATTCACATCAAGCCCACCCGTTGGGCTGGGGTATATATGAATTCGATATCCCAACTAACATTAAATGTTGTGTCTGCCTCTTGTCTGTAAAAATAGGTCTACAGCGTTTATTTACGTCATAGAGATATAATAAGAATTATAGCTCTATGATTTACTTTCATTTCGATACATTTTATGTGCGCGAGCACGCATGACGTCGCCCTCAATCTTACGTTACTAGGGAGTGCTTGTTTGCATTTCAATACTCAAAGCGGTCTTAGGGAAGACTGTTTTATAGCAATGGTCTTAGAGACATGGCTTTAGTAAGACAGTCTAAGTGATAAAGCCGGCTTTATTCGATAAGTTAAGACTACCCGTTAAGACCATTTTATAGCAATCCACCCCTGATATTTGTCACACAAAAACTGGCAGTGTGGACAGAGTTTAAAAATTCTGCAGCTTCTTTCATTGTCCAGCTGCTGTAGAACTAGAAGCTTTATGACTCATATGAACCAAACCTTAGACAGATTTGACTGATACAGGTCTGTTGTGGACAGACGAAAGTGCGCCTCTTGGCAGCTGATTGGACATGATGTGACCATTAGGAAAGTTGTTCAATGAGTTAGTCCATGGCGGTGTGCAATACAGCCTAGTTACAGCTGCAAAGATGTGTATAAGAGACAGCCTGCAACTCTAACCGTAGCTTGTATTCGAGAAAACTAAATGTTCCAATGAGGATTGAATCTGAAGAGTCCCCATTCGGATCCAGTTGAGAGTGATATAGAAATATGTGATATAAAAATATATAGAAATAAAAAAAAGGGGGGAAAAAGAAAATTATATTCAAATTTAGGTCTTACAATGCCATTTCCGGCCATCTAGAGGTGATATACTGTAAACATTTTCTTACATCTCCATTTGTTAAAGACCCTTCCTGGGCCCCTCTATTTCAAATTCAATAACCAAACAAATAACAATGTGGTTATTTCAACTTGGAATGATAGCCAAGAATGTGCAATGAACTACCTAATGAATTAATTCAAAATATGTCGATACATTCATTGCAAAACAATAAATTACTACATGAATTTATTTCATTGACCATTCTCTTGCTTGGTTTATATATGTCTATATATATATAATTATTGTTAACCAATTCTATATATTGTATATATTTTTACTATGTTTGAACTGTACCACTTTGAAAATCAGTGCAATAGTGCTGAAAGAGCCTAAAGTGAAATAAATAAATAAACCATGGACTTTTAACATTTAAAATCCTTGTTCAAGCTGGATGAGTCACAACCCAATTATTTTGAAAATCTCTAGAAATTATATACAATAAAATATTTGAATAATAAATGTGCTGCAATTAATTTGATATAGAAATATATAGCTTACTTACATTTGTGTGTGTGCGTATACTTGTAGTTGAGTGTTTATAAGCCCACCCCTTAACATTTGATTCATTTTCATAATAACAACAACAATAACAATAATAATAATTTTATATAATGATTCCTGATGATGACATAATTAATGTCGAAATATTGAATCCCAACACGATGGCGTGTATTTCAATACTTGGAGTATGTATTATACTTTCTAATAATTTTATAACATTTAAAATCCTTGTTCAATTATATGATTGAAACATACACATTGTAGAATGTCAGGGAGTGCTGGTTCCCCCATCAGGGGGGGATAAAAACAATTATAGTGTATTTTCTACATATTATTAGTAGACTCTAAAATCAATTAAATAAGCCTTTGAAACCCTTAAATTGTTAACATTTTCGGGGCTTCGCCCCCCTGGACCACTTTCGAAACATTTTAATCGAAGCTCGACCACGCCCACATTGCTTTCATCGGGGGAAATGTGACCCCTCGTCAGGGACCTCGCGGCCCCCCCCCCTCCACCGTCTGGCAAATCCTGGTGCCACCCCTGAACATCTTGAAAGTGGCATCTCCGTTCTCGGAACCCCTGTAAAATCTAAATTCTACAATGTGTGTTTTAACAATGTAGAAATAAATTGCATTAAATGAATTGGGTATTGGGCTCTATTAAAACCAACAAATACCATCCAAAACATAATTTTCACTTAAAAGTATGCCTTTAATCAGCATGTATGTACAATAAGGAACAATTAAGCACCCATATCAAAAAACAGATTTCTGTACAATCCAGATGGAAGTGGCCAGTAGGGGTTCAGGCCCCCCCCCCACATCTTCCAGTGTTATGATAAGGTTGTCAGTCTAAAAATATTAATTTGTCAATTCAAACAACGAGATTACCAGTCTCTAATATTGTGTTCTAAAAGCTTTAATATAAATGTGTTAAAAAAAAATGGAATTTGGAGAAAAATATTTAAATATATACACACATATGTACAAGAACCAAAACAATTTACAAAATCGTGTTGTTTAAAAGATTGCAAAGTGAAGGAATAGCTAAACGATATCTAATGAAATTGCATTCCAGACTTTGAAGAAATTAAATAGTCACTAAATAGTCAAGATTACCGACTAACGTGCGGAACCGAGGGGAAAACAGGTGCTAGCCCCACCACCCCACCTCCACAAAAAAAAAAATGTTTAAACAAAAATTTCAAACTTCCACCCCCCAAATCAATCCGCTCGGTCCTCAACACACAGCATGGCCCCCTACCCATATTATTTTTCTCTTTATCTGCATCTAGCCCTGTCATTGATCAATGTAATGGTATGAAATATTCACTTGTTTGTAAACAACCCTAACATATGATATAGAACAAGTACGCGTATGTTTATACACAGAATATACATACCTAATGGCACGAGTTGGGTTGTTGCATTGAGCATAAATATAACAAGTCTAATATATCTGTTAAATAACATACACATACTCAGGCTGTATTTCAATTATTTTCTTTCTTTTTTTTTGTTTCATTTTGTATGTAAATTGTATACTTTCCTGTGTATTCCTTCACTTTGCTTACTATCTACTTGTAACCTTGTGACCATTATGATATCAATTAATAGTAAATAAACACCTCTATAATAAACAAGTTACTGTCCTAATCTTATACTGGTTATGGCTGCTATAATAACAAGGGTACTATGCAACTGTGTTAATATAATATGTTTTTTATAAAGTATACATTACGAAATATCAGAAAAGAATGTTTAATTACATAATTTTATATAAAAGAGAAAATATAAATACTGTAACGTATTTAATGTTTTGTATTGTTCTATTTTTGTGATATACCTTCCATTCTGTACTTTGCAGGCTTCTTGCTGCTGAATGCAAAAAAAAGGCAACAAGTCAAAATATGTTGTAGAAAAAAATTAAGTGAGTGTTTTAACTGTTGAGATTTGAGTTGGGAATTATAAAGCAGTATGGAAAAGTACACAAATTTCTTTAAGTAATCTTTGTGCAAGCGGATAGGCAGTACAAATATCTTCCTCCACCCGCACTTTTTAAATTTGCAAAAAAAAGCAAGTTTCCTTGCTAATGTGGCCATATACCCCTCCCCTCTAGAAATACTTGCATTTGTCCCTGAACCTGGAAGTATATAAAAAAAAAAGCGCAGACCTCTCCCGCCCTGTTTTCACTATCAAAACAGCTTCCTTGCTATTGTAACCAGATACCCCTCTCCTTCATTTGTATTTTACAATTTATGTACATCAAGGGCGATTCTTGAAAGCCTGCCCAACCAGTTTTTTTCTCCGTATCTAGCCTGGCAAAGACCGACTTCTTTTATTATTTATGTACATCAAGAAAGACTTAGCATCCTCTTCTTGAAAGCCTGCCCAACCAGTTTTTTCTCCTTGTCTAGCCTGGCAAAGACGGACTTGTTTTCAGCAGCCCTGCGTGACATATTCGGCATCACATCTCTTATTGGTCCATATGGAACTGACTTGTACACCAGATACCCTGCATCACCTGAAAGCAACAATAATTATAATTAAATTAAAAATATACATTTTTACAATGTTATAATAGGTTTTCAATTAAATAAAATTTTATTCATGATTTATAGTTTTCAAAAAAGGAACTTGTCATTTAGAACATTCAGAGTACAAAAAAAAATATATATATATATAAAAAAATCACCCAACTGTAACCTTGAGTTATGTGAACGGTTGTAGTTCTACAGCAATTAAAATATTTTAATAATTATACAAGAGTCCTCTTTTCCAGATTTTTTATAATCCTGGGTGAAGAGAGGCAAACATAAAATGTCTACACAGGCAAAAGACCAGTACTGGACTGAAAAAGCCCAAGACTTACTGTTGCCTCCACACTATATACTGTAATTATAAAATTGTCTTCTAAAGGGTAATTTCTTTTTTTACCTAGGTTGTAAGAAACATGATCGCACATGCCCAAAAGTTGTCCGAAGAACAATTGTCCAGAATCTTTTTCTATACCTGCTTCCTTCATTCTGAAAAATAATTATATTTTAATAAATAATTTTAATTCATCCCTTGCATTCTACTTAGTATTTTAAAATGTTTATGGATAGATGTTTGCAGCTACAGGATGCCGCTAGCAACACGCTGATGTTGTGCAAAACACCAAAGGTTTTGCAATACAGTATTGACTATAAGAAGTACAAGTACAGTAAAATATAAAAACTGTCAATAAATGTTTTTGTTCTGAAGAATTTTTTAACACTCCTAAAGAGGTATTATATTCACCACAACAAATCCACTACTACATTAGGCCAGACTTTTTTTTAATGTATTATACCTTATTTTAAAAGTGCAACCTCCAACCGCCAAAAATGATGATTTTGAATAAAAATAAAATTTCATTTTTGGCAAGTTAGTGCACCCTCTGCATTAAAAAATGGAAATTTCATTAAAAAAAATAAAATTTTATATTTATTGCACCTTGCACTCCCCTGAAATCTCTAAAAATAAGATATACATATTTCTTCCTTAATTTTATTAGTATTACTATACTGTTTTATTCATTAATAAAATTTTATTTCTATTTTCTCCGCCTAGGTGGTTTTAGAAAAATCATTTTGCTAAATGAGAAAACAATTTATTTGTTTTTCCACCCTCCTCTGACGACCTTTAAAAGAACAAGTTTGCGAAACCAAGTATATGAACAGCCTCGCCTTATTTTTGTTTATTATTTTAAGCTTTCCATTTAGTGACTAACACTGCTTTCCAAGGAAGCCCTGGTATATTATGTGAAAAATGTTATTACTTTCAACTTATGTAAATACATTGCAATTTGACAACTCACAATGCAACAGCATTTCTAACAGAGTTTTCATTATGTGTGGCAACCATTGTGATGAACTGTCCTCTGGGTGAATCACGAATCAATTTGATGGAGTACTCCACGCACTTATTATACATTGCGCTTGTATCGTCATATGTTTCATTGATAGGATCTGTAATTGATTTATGAAACAAAATAATAAATAACAAGCACTGTCTAATGTTCAAATTATCAAAGGCAAAGAAACATAATAACAGCTTAGTGTAGAAATATTTTAGTTGATATATCTATGTACTATATTCGATAGATGTACAATATCACAAAAAAATTAGCTAATTTTTCAATGGATTTGTACTGTACATTCAATGCCGTGCTTCAGGGCTAGACGTCGTTCATTTTCCATGTATGCGCCTCTAACAATCTTGTATCCAAAACCGAAGTTTGCTTTCTTTGCCAGCTCAACGTCTCTGCGTATATTGCTAAGGGTTTCCTAGATATAAAGATTAAATTTAGACCATTGGTCTATTGAATATATTATAGATTATTTATATAAAATTTACATTATTAAAATAATAGCATAGTGATGTAAGCACACAAATGGCCTGTTAGATGCTTTATATTTATTTCATTATGAAGAAGAAATACATTTCTTATTGGCAAATTTCATGGTGAAGAAAGGCGTGAAAAAAATAATTGTTTATTTTTTATTTTGCAGCAGTTTGTACTTTAATAGGCCAAAAATATAATTTTATTGTTATTTAAAATCATCATCACCACCAACAAGTGGCAAGTTCGTAACACAATGTATTAAAAATGTCTTGCCATATATTAAATCTAATAGTACAGAGTTTTATACTTGAGTAACAACTATATCTCTCCATTTTTAACATGCAAATATAGCTGTTTTTGCACCATTCTAGATGTATATTTTTAACCTACTGATTTTCTGGTTTACCCATGCTTGACCATGACTGTTTAAATTCTCTGATTATCAACAATACAATAAGGAAAATCACATAAAACATTAATTGAATTATGAGACTCTGAAAATGATTGAATAATCTTTTGAAACCCCTAAACTGTCATAGTTTCCACCGGCTTTAGTAAATTTAATATTTTTTAACTGTACATAGAAAGTACCTATCTTTTAACCTAATAAATTGATGAAATATATTGATTTGATTAATATGATCCAATGTCACACACCTTCAAGTATGCCTGATACGTGTTCCATATTAATGTCTTCTCACGGTTGAACTTTGACATCATTGAGACCACAATCATAGCCATTGCTGAGCGTAGATTGTATTGTTCTGCATCCACCATAAATGCAATGTTACAGTCAACAGATTTCTGGAAAGGAATAATGAGCTAAGTATTAGTATTTTGTTTTATATCTATGTGTAATTATTCTTTCTATCGTCTGTGTACAGCTCATCGTGTGCCATACAAAAGACGGGCAATTTACAATTTATCTCCTTCGTGTGTTTAAAATATTTTCCATGCATGTTTCTTATGAACAACAGAGATCATGTGCACTTTTTTTTTGTGCAATGTTCTTTCATCAGAACATTCTTTATGCACTGGGTTTGATGTGGCTTCCGATATTTGGAATATTTCCAACATGTTACATACAAAAATAAAAATATACTCTGTACTTGAATTACCTGAGCTAATCTGTTTAGTCTTTGTAATGCAGTCGATAATAACTTGTTTTCCTCTTCTGAAAGCTCAGGAATTGGCTGTCAATAAATAATAAATTAAATAAAAGTCCTAATATTTATTCAGCTCTCAGAATAACAAACAGGATATCAAAACATCAACATTACAAAGCGAATAAAAACAATGGTCCTACAAAAATTGTATTTAGATTCTTTTAAGAAGATTACGACATGAACAGAGTATGTGCATTTCGATACTTGGAGTATGTATACTATCTAATCTGAGATTAATGAGTGGACTTCGGTTTTTGGAATGCAGTACAATACACTAAAATGTCCTTTTTGAGCAGCCACCACTCATATAGCAGTGGCTGCCAAAGAAAGGGACAGGTGGGAGAGGCCTACTCCCTTATCACTATTAAATTTGGCAGAACCTATTAAAAAAGATACATTTTATGAAAAAAACAATACTCATTCATTATGAATTCAAAATGAGACAGTTTAAAAAAATAAAAATCAGCTTTTGCTGATTTTTACAACAAAAATCCTTATAATAATAAAAATACTGTAGCAATAGTAAATAATAATAATAAAAAAAACAATAATTATTTT